TTGGTTCCAGCTTATTGAAAAGAAACTCGCTTCTCTTCACATATCCCTGGAATCCTTGGTAGATATGAATCTCACTAAGGCTTATTCCATAATCAAGAACAAACTCTATCACGCTGAATTCAATCACCTATGGAATAACCTTAACCCTGTATGTTCCCTTCTTTCTGTTGGATTTTTTCCATCTCAGGACCACTCTCCCAAATATTTCCACTCCCTAGTAAAGCCACATCTAAGAAGAGCTTTTATGTTAGCCCGTTTTAACATTTTTCCTTCGGCCACCCATGCCGGGCGATTTGTCAATATCCCTCGTGAAAAAAGACTTTGTCTTTTTTGCTTAGAGACGCCTGACACCCTGGTTCATATACTGTTTCAATGCCCTGCTCATTCCCACCTCCAAAAAATTTTTCTTGAACCTTGGATGTCTTATTTTTTCCAATTCTTCTGTGTCAATTCTTTCTATTTTCGTGAGCGATGAATGTAATGCCCTGACCGCTGCTGTTGCAGGTTTCTTATCTGCAATTCTGAAATTGTCCCTTGCTTCTCGCCCCTAATCTGTGAAATCTGTGTAACTTTACTTTTCCTATTTTGCTTGTGTTATTGTAACTTGTAAATGCCATTAAAGGTTTCAGAACACACACACACATTTCTTTTTTACTACAGGAACTGTCTTTTTACATTCTTCCCTAATAATATCTCTGGTTCCACACAAAAAAAAATTGAAACGCATTTCGGGAAGGGACAATGGGGAACGGACGCAAAGCCTACAGAAGCACATACATATGCTATTCGAGTCCAAGAAGGAAGCTCGTTTTCTCTCTTACCCGCTTTGTAGCCGACTAACCAGCAAATACCTCGCAACCACTTCTTACCTCCCCTTCTTCCCGCTCCATGGCTCTCTTGTCCGTGCCAACAAGCCGGCGGCGGCAGCATCAACAACCAGGCACGCGGGTCATCCCCACTTCCAGAGCCCACAAGGCGCCCGCAGTTTTGTTGGCTTCACTGTCAGCCATGTATATCGAAAGCCTATTGGTCTGTACGCGTCCCAACCCCGGCCAATGGGAGGCGAGAATTAGACGGCGACGGAAGGAGAGGAGTCAGCCGCCCCGCTCCGTTTTATATACAGTATTTATCTATTTGCTGTGCTGCCGCAAGGGGTTTTGGGAGTTGTAGTCCTCCTGCTCACAGGCTTGGGTCTGACTCCACAACTCCCGCCCTCCAACCGTTTCCTTCACTCCTGTGTCCGAATTGCCAGCCTTCTCCTTCTCGCAGAGGGAATGGCGCGGCCTCGTTTTACCTTGCCCGTTAGCCGTGCCACATTAGGAGCGTCCAAGGGACATCTCCCCTCCGCCCCGTCTGCGTAAACCTGTTCAAAGGTTTCTGGGAAGAAATGTGGGATGGCGTCCGCCTTCCTTGGCTCTCATAGCAGCCGGCCGAAACGGCACTTCGGCGTCCTTTGCTTTATGACAAATGTGTCTGCCCCGGGTTGGGGTGGGGATCTGGCCACACAGACGGGAGGGCAATCCGCTGGTCCCTCACCGGCGACCTTATTGCAGCGGCCACCTCCCCTTTTCTACATGTATGCTTTACTCTCAAGTAAATATATCCCACTGAATTCGATGGGGCTTCTTTAATCTTAGGTAAAGGCCCCGAGGATTGCAAGTAAAGCGGCTCCCCTCCCCTTTTTTTCTTTCTTTCGCTCTGTTTTGTTACACAACGAACTTTAATGGCTACGCTAAGAAGGGAAGGCAAAAGCATCGCTCTCTCCCAGAATTATTCATTTCAAAATCTTCCTTTAAATAAAAGGATTAGGAAGTTTCGAAAGCACATTTGATGGAATAGCTTGATTTTAGTGGTGCTCGGGAAAAATAAGGGCAACCAAACTGCAAAGTTCCGACGATGGAGAAATGGGAGACCGACATTGTTTTGTTTTTCTGATGGTTACAAAAGGTTTTCCAAAAAGCTCTTCCCGCAGTAAAGCATACATGTAGTATGTTCGAAATCCAAATCGTGCCTCAAGCGTTGTTGTTCTGTGCCTTCAAGTTACCCTCGATTTACAGCAGCCCATTAATTAATTATCTCCAAAATGCCCTGTCCTCAACAGCCCACCTTCGACTTACAGCAGCCCATTATCTCGAAAATGCCCTGTCCTCAACAGCCCTGCTCAGCTCTCCCACTCAAGCCTGTCAAGCCATCGCGTATTTGCTTTTCCTCTTTTCCCGCTGCTGTTAACGTTTCCCAGTTTGCCATCTAAAATTTTGATTCTAAATATGCAGAGTTTAAAGAGCAGACATGAGACTGAAAGGGGAAAAAAGCTTAAACATACAAAAATATAACTACATTCCAAGGAAATCAAATAAAATTGACACAGCAGTGCAACAGGTATTATCAACAGCTTTTAAACAATGTTAAGAATAGCATTCTAGACGTAGCATAAGGGGGGGGGAGAATTATGAACAGAAAATTCTAAATATTAGTTTTATTATTAAAATAAATTGTAAAAATAATAGAATGTCTTCGCTCCAGAAGATGAAACCAGAGTTTAACCTGTTTTTTTACTCTTGACAGACACACTTAAAGAACGGTAGAATGGTTAATTTGGAGGGGACCTATAAGACCATAAAGTTCAACCCCCCGCTGAATGCAGAAATACAAATTAAAAGATATCTGCCTGGCGGCCATCTAAGTTTCTCTCAAATGCCTCTAGTGCATAGGTGCATAAATTACCCCAAATGGGGTAAAAGTGAAAATCCTGGGGGTAATGAGCAGAGTGCTACCCCCTCCTTCCCACCCCCACTCTCTGCAGGCAAAAGTCAAATTGTAAGCCACCTCTCCCTGTTACGCAAAACTCAAGTTGTAAGCCACCTCTCCCTGTTACTTCCTGGTTGCGGCAGTCACTGGAAAATCATCTGTTAGTTCAGAGATTGGAGATAAGCTCCTTGATTGGTTGCAGCTGTGGATTAGCCCCACTAGCCTTGGAGCATTCACCACCTCTCAAGGCATTTGGTTCTGCTGTCATACTGCTCTAACAGTTAGGACAATTTTCCTGATATTTAAGTGAAATCTGGCTTCTTGTAACTTGAACCCATTGTTGCATGTCCTGCATTCTGGGATGATTGACAACAGATCCCAGCCTTCCTCTGCTTGATAACAAGCATTTTAAATATTTTAAAAGTGTATTCGCGAAGGCTTTCATGGCCGGGATCTAATGGTTGTTGTGGGTTCCTACTCCAGACCTCTGAAGATGCTGGCTTCAGAGACTGACGAAATGTCAGGAATAACAACCTTCAGAACATGGCCTAAAAGCCCGAAAAACCCACAACAACCAACCATTTTAAAACTGTTATCATATAACTACTCTGTCTTATTTTCTCAGGCTTAAACATGCCCAATTACTTCAACCTTTCCTCAGAGGACTTGGTTTCCATCCCTGATAATCCTTGTTGCCCTCCTCTGAATTTGTTCCAATTTGTCAGCATCCTTCTTAAAGTGTGGTGTTGAGAACTGGACACAGTACTCAAGGTGAAGCCTAGGCTTGTCTCATTGTCAAATGCTTTTTAAGCTCTAGAAACTCCTGAAACATCCAGTGCAGCTGCAGAACAACCCACTTGTGTGCATTCACAGAGGCCACAAAGAAGAACTACAGACTTATTATTCTACGTACAGAATGTGTGAGAGTCTGTGTGTGGATGAGTTAAATAGGTTAATTTATTCCTGTACTAATGATAACTGCACCATCCACACACAAGAGGGACATAACAGCATACTTCAGGAACCTTGACATTTGCAGAAGCATTACAAATTCTACATTTAAAAGTAAAGGTGGCTGGGGGGGCACCCACAAAGAAGGAAATAAGACTGAAGATGATTGTTGAGCCTAATGCTGAGTGCTGGTAGTAGTGGAAATGGGGAATGGAATGGAGTGTGCTAGAAAAAGGCATGCCTAAAAGACAAGGGAATTTGGAGCTGTCTAGTTTGCACTTAAAAGGTCCTTATCTTGAGAGGTATCTGTTTGAACTGTCTACTTGAGTGATCCTTTCGTTTACACTGGATATGTTTATTCTCCTGTGAGAAGGGTCTACACAAGTCTTTGGAACACCTAACCTTCTGAACAAGCTACAGGATGAGATAATGAGGATTGTGTGAAATGATAACCAAAATAATACATACTCTAGCACTGTGCCAGAAAGGTGCACACAACAGCTCTTAAAAGTACGAAATGGATAGATTGAAATAGAAGCACATGGATACCATCATTTGGTTCAAACCAAACCATACCAACAACAATCCATACATGAATCTATATGCCAGTCCAGACAGGAATTTCAGCTAATGAAATAAATGTGAAACAGAGGTTTCAAAAAGATTAACAGTTCCAAGCTACATCAACAGAACTATGGTCTCCAGATGAAGGGAAGTAAGAGTACTATTCTATTTTGCTTTGGTTAGAATATGGTGTCACATTCTGGACAGCACTGCTTAAGAAAGAAATCAAGATGCTGCACTACAGTATGTCCAGACTTAAAGATGATAAGGTAACTATCTAAAATATTTGAATGGCTGTATGGACCAGGATTGTTTGCAGTTCCAGATGCTGGGATCCTGACTAAGAATCAAATTAAATTAGAGTTAAAAAATATTAGGAAAAGCATCCCTACCATAAAGCAAAGGCTTGGGTTCTTTTGGAGAAAGATGAGATAAAAATATTTTAAATAAATAATAAATAAAACATGTGCTGCTTATATACCATCCCATAGTGCTTAAAGTTCTCTCTGGCAGTTTACAATTTAATTATGCAGGCTACACATTGCCTCTCAGAGAGCTGGGTATTCAATTTACCAACCTTGGGAAGAAGGAAAGGTGAGTCAACTCAAGCTAGCTACCCGAGCCCACAATTGAACCTGGGTCATGAGCAGAGTTTAATCACTGCACCACAAGGCTAATTAGAGCAGTTTAAGAGTGAAATGGCTACTTAATAGTGAAGAGCAGTTCCTGACAGTAACAGCAGTTTCACAGTGAAGCTTCAGAAGGTTGTAGGCTCTCCTCCATTGGAAGTTTTTAATCACAGGCTGAATGGCATCTAGCAAGGATGTTTTAGCTGTGCATTTCCTGCATTGGCGGGAGTTTGGACTTAATAACCCTTAGGATCCCTTCCAACTCTACAGTTATATGACTCTGCACATAGCAGTAGGTTATATATATATGAATATGTTAAATATACATATTCAGACGATGCAATGGGTTCTTTGTATTTGCTGGCTGAAGAAATGGCTGCCAGAAGGCTGTGTAGCTGGGAAGGTCAAATACATTTAGAATAAATTTCCAGGGTACCTGATGAAGTGGATTGCTACAGTCCACAAAATCTTAAACCAAGTAGGATTTGCTAGTCATAAAGCCTGGTACTGAGTGTGGTGCACCAGACAGAGTGACTAACTAGGACACAGAAGACTTTAGTTGCGACTCCCTGCTCTGCCACAGAAACTTGTGGAATGAAAGGGCAGAACTGGTAAAACCACTCCTTAAATATCTCACTTAGCTTGCAAGTAATTCTAGGGTCACTGTAAGTCAGTTCTAACTTGATGACACATAACACTCTGGCTGAAATCCTGTCTGTTACGCAAACAGTATAACTTATGGGAGTTTGTCTCCAAGAATTGTAAAATCTGTGTAGACATTATCTGTTGCACATTGAGTCATGTGATTTAACGTGCAAAAGACATGCTGTCTATGAAGTCTATGAAGACTTCTTAACTTAGAGCAATTAAGTTATGCTGTTTGCGTAACTGGAAAACAGGATTTCAGCCACAGTTTTAAAGGAGCCACAAAAGTTGTTTTTACATTAGAAGTGAGTCTGGAACTCAAAATGTTTTGAGAAATGCAACCACATATTTAGTCATGTGATTCAACGTGCAAAAGACATGCTGTCTATGAAGTCTATGAAGACTTCTTAACTTAGAGCAATTAAGTTATGCTGTTTGCATAACTGGAAAACAGGATTTCAGCCACAGTTTTAAAGGAGCCACAAAAGTTGTTTTTACATTAGAAGTGAGTCTGGAACTCAAAATGTTTTGAGAAATGCAACCACATATTTACCTGTGTTTGATTTTGTTTCCGCAGTCTAAGCTTCCGATCAAAGTCAGGCATGGAAGATGGGAAGTCTGTAGTGAGAATCATGGAATTCAGAATGCCATCCTGCCCCTCCCATATTGGAATACGACCCTCTGACATGTTGGATCTATTTCTCACAGTCCAGGTTCTGCATTTAGAAACCCAGGAACCTATTGCTTTCTTTCAGTTGTATCTCTTCTTGCTTTCCTGCAGGTGAAGACTTAATAGTTCACTCCCAAGTTAATAATTGTGTACCATTAAGTCATTTCTGACTTTTTAGGGTTTTTTAGGTATAGAGTTCTCAGAAATGGCATACCATCCCCCCCTCTTCTGGGGGAAAGCCTGGAACTGTGCAGTTTGGGATGCAGTGAGGAAACTCTCAACCTCTACCTAACTCGCTGAACTACCCAGCTAGCCACTCTCAAAGTTGCCAGGGGGCAGCCTCTAGCTTGCTCAGCTACTTGCTCAAGAAGAACTTGTCTGGCCCTGTTCTAAAAAAAGACATGGGAGCATATATAATCCTATGGCTTATTCACTCTTGCACTGCTTGCCATTCCCTTCTGAGGTCTCCTGGGTCTGTGCAGCCTGCCCATGATTAGACAGGCCAGCTCTTCTCTCAGGAAGCACAGTGGTGGAATCATACTCCCAACCTCAGGCTCCACAGGCAAATAGCTAAATTATTGAGCTATCCGGCCAGCGTAATAATCATCGTGTGCCATCAAATCAATTCTGACTTATGGTGACCATTTTCAGGGTTTTCTAGATTGAGGATATTCAGAAATGGTTTGCCATTCCCTTCTTCTGGGGACACACTGGGACTGTGCAGCTTGCTCAAGGCCACACAAGCTAGACTCTACTTGCAGAAGGCATAGTGGGGAATTGAATTCTCAACTCAAACCACTGAGCTATCCAGACAGTACTTGTATATTAGAGCTTAAAGATGTCCCCACGTCCACTTTTTTGACTATAACTGCTGGAATCCATTGCTGGCAGGAAGATTCTGGGAGCTATAGTCTAAAAATACAAAACCCCTTCTGCTCAGACCTATTGTCTTTTTGTCTGTCGTCTTGAAGAATTTTTACAACAGGAACCAGAAACAAACATAGGTATAATTACTGCATGTTACCAATGAATATTTAGAATGTTTAATCTAAATTTAATTCAATTTCTTTATGTTCGACAAGTAGATGTGTCCACAAAAGCTAAATTTAAAATGTGGTAGTTAGTCCTTAAGGTGCCGTATGTTTTTGTCTTTTTAAAATTTGTCGTTTCTTTGGATTTCGCCTGGATGAGATACTTTACCAAATGTCAAGCATTCTATTGTTAAAAATTGTCTGTACAAGCCTGAGCTTGTTTACATATGGGTGCAAGCAAAAGCTCTCACATCTCATTTTATAGAACTTTACAGGGAACTATAACTATAGGCAAATTCTTCGCAGAGTACTTTTTCCTCACCAGCTCCAGTTTATCCCGTTTCAGGAAATAAGAAAGCCAATCAGTAGATTATTGAACAGGCACCAACCCAAAGAGTCCTTCCAGATTTATAAGAGACACAACTTTTCCATGTTCAGTTTTAGCTGGTAGGTGCTTCAGATACATACTGGCATTATGTAAGTAGTATCTAAAAGCAGGCAGAGTCCATATTATGGGGAATTAATGATAAAGCGGTTGAACAGTGCACCTATACTATTGTATCTTTCAGAGCAGCATACTATACAGCTACACTTGGAAGAAGTGTATCTCCTTTATATTTTCTATAATTAATCCTGGCTACAGGATTCCATGTGACCACGGAAGATTGTCTTTGGACAAAACGCTGGCTCTATGGTTTGGAAACGGGGAGGAGCACCGCCCCCTAGAGTCAAACATGACTGGACAAAAATTGTCAAGGGGTATCTTTACCTTTACCTTACAGGAAAAATGAGAGTAAGAACCATGTGCAGTCCATCCAATACAGTATTCTTGAAGTTTCACATAGTTTCCTGTTTCTCTTCCATTTAACAATACACATTAGCCAACCACTGATGCAACAATTGCACTGTTTCCAATATTGACATATTTTCCTTTTCGTTTTACAGTGGCTCAATCAGTAAAGTGCTTTGAATATGCTGCTACCGTATGGACAATAAATTCAAATATCTAGTGCCTAACAGTACATCAATACATGTCCCCTCATGTCAGAAACACAGCTTTTGTGGCCCGTGCCTACCTGCTCTTTGCAGCAGAAATGATGCCATTTACTTTGTGCTTCTGCATGGCAATGTAAGGCCTGATTCAACCTAGTGATCATTGCTGTGGGCTGGCAAGTAATATTTTGGCTTTATGTTTTCTACGAAGATAACTTCACAGACGTCAAAGACAGTGCTTTCCTATCTCTGCCCCCCTCCAATTAAAATTTCTACTTTCTGAACCAGGGAACACTCAATTTTATGATTTTGGGATGTCTCACTGCTGATTACAAATGAGAGACTTGGCAAGCTGCATGACATGAAAGCTAGACTCCTCTGTGAACCAGATAAACAGTACTTGGAATTTTAATAAGATTTAATCCAAAAACACCTCTCTAAACACTGCACACCTATACTGATTTCCAAGGTTGCAAGCTCAGTTTCTGGTAGAAGCACTGCATATTAATTGCAGAATACTGTAGAACAGTGGTTCCCAACCTTGGGTAACCCCGGTGTTCTTGGACTGCAATTCCCAGAAGCCTTCACTACCGGCTGTGCTGGCTGGGATTTTTGGGCACTGCAGTCCAAGAACATCTGGCTTACTCCAGGTTGGGAATCCCTGCTGTAGAAGAACACACTGGGCATAACGTAAGCCAGATGAATCACTTTTAAAAATGCAGGTCAAAGTTAAATCTTTGCAGAAACTTTAGGCAACTGCTGTGCTAAAATTTAGAATGTTAGAGACAATCATTCTGAAAGGTCAGTTTTGTATGCACAGTTAGCTCAAGAACAACTAGGAAACATTTAAATATCATAGTCCATTGTTTAGTTTCTCGTTTTGATGGCATAGTAACTTATGGATCAGTGATCTGTGATGTTTTATCACACTTTAGGAGACTGTAAAATTATACTCAGACTGTAGATAGGATGTTTAATTTTATATTGATACTGTAAGCAAAACAAACTACTACCATAAAGTTGCAAAATAAATGTGCTTCCATGTTTGTCTCTCTCTTTTGAGGCAACTTTTATACAAAAAGGGTAGAAATGAATGTAATACTAAAATGTATGATATAAAATATATGATGAATTCCAGCACTGTATTCACATCTGGATCTTATGCAGTATTTTTCTGAATGCCCTAAACTTCCACTAAAGAAGAAAGTTTGTCACATCTAAGAGACACAGAGAGCCTCAGCATTTCACTGTTGAGCCAATCCAGAAAAGGATTCAAGAAGATGAAAATTGTTTAGAAGCCCTTTTCTTTACTAGCTCATAAATGGACCATGTCAGGATTTCTCTTCACTAGCACTTAACACTGAAATCACCTGAATCAGCAGAAACTGATTCTGCAGACCTTTAGATAATGCTATTGTATTATTAGAAGTATAGCCAAGTATTACTCCATCTACATTAATGGACACATAAATCTTCAAACTATAGAACTTCTATACCTTGATGTACAGCGGATATGTCTTCATGGCATTCTTCCAATAAAATTCAATTGTGCCACTGTCAGAGCAGACTTGAGAAACTTCCAGTGTATCTAAATCTTCAGTCTACCTCCAAACTCTTCTGGCCACACTGCAAGTGAACATGCTCAGTCACGGAATGGATTAAAAAGGAATCCCTCAGTCCAATCCAATGACCACACACACTGAGGCATGTTCCGCAGTCATTTGGGAACCAAGTCCTAACTATGTCAAATGTGCAGACACCATCCCACCTGGATATTCAGAAATGCTTGTATATTTCTATTGTGTAAGTAAAAGCAAATACAGAGTCACAGCAAAATGGACATTGATAATCTTCATTACAACCCAAGCTACCAAACCTCTTTTAAAAAACACATTAGTATGCATATTGTACATGAGTATTTCTACAGGTTGTTTCTGCAAAAGCATGCCATCTTCTTTCCCCATTTCAAAATGAGCACCAAGAGGAGGGAAAAGAAGAAGGGAAGCATTAAAAAAATCAGTCTGTCTCACACAGTTTATTTAACAATAGGTAATAAGAAATCAATTAACAGTCTATACAGTGATCGAAAGTTCATATTTATAAGTAATCAATTTTAATTGCATGATTTACAACATTTGAGGGTTTTTTGCTTTCTATTTTCAAGTTTTACAGAAAATGGAAGAGGAGGAAAAAAGAGGGGAGGGAAAGAGAAAGCAAGCATAAAGAAGAAACCCCAGGGATTTTTCTCTCAGGTTAAAATTATACCCTTGGAATAGTTTCTTACCCTCTTTATTTTTTTCCTTTGTTAGATGTAAAAATAACAAAAAAATTCTTTCAAGAAAACAAACCACAATATATATACTACATCCATTTGGCAGCTGCCCCCATGTATTTGCAAAAAAGTTGTCTTCTCTCTACATGTACAAATTTTAATACTTGAAGTTTAAGTTCAGACTCTGGTATAGAAAATTGATGGAGGACAAAAGTAGACTTCAGGAGGGAGACTGGGTTACTTAATATTTTTTACAGTTTTTAAAAGAACTGACATCTTTCCATCCAAAGAGGAAAAATTGGTATTTATCTTTAATATATATTTATATATATGCACTGTATTTTTAAAGCAACATTCACCCTTTTTGTCCTCCAGTTGCAAGTAACGTTCTGTTTTGTTTTTTGCAGTAGACAAGAGGAAAACCAGAATAGAGAAAAAGTTAACCATCAGCTTCAGTAAATTATAACTAGCAATATTACATATTTTCATTAATTTAAAAAAAAATAAAAACTATTAGAGGCTAGAGAAGGAAGTCATTTAGTCAGCAGCCAAATAACTATCTCCTCCCAAACACCTCCCCAATGCACGCAAATGGAAAACAAAAACAAGAAAAAGGACTGGCTATGAGCCCAGCCATAACAAAAATATATTTCTTTGTATTCTATCATCCCTCAGGTTCATGTTGTTGGTTTTACGTTTTTAAAACCACAAACTACCGTTGCAGAGTTCAGATGTATTCCAGGGAAAAATGTTCAGCTAAGAAAGATTTAAAAAAAATTGTCTTCAGTACAAAAAGTCTTGAGAAAATAAGGTTCTTTTGCTCCCAAAATGCTACAATGTGTCTTAGTGTATGTCTAGTGTACTCTGTGAAAGGTTTGAATTCAAGTCTGAATTATCTGAGCCGAGTCCCAGTTCTGTGGCACTTGCACCATGGAGACCTGCCATGCCTGGATTGTTAGCAAGCTGAGAAAGCATTGCATTCTGGTCCGGGCTGGCAAAGTGCCCTTGATCCATGGGGTTTGCCTGGGCAGCTACCAGTCCTGGATGCGGGGAGCTGGTCTGTGGGGAGACGTGATGTGGAGAAGGTTGCGGCTGCATCCTGGGTGAAGGGCTGGAGTGGGGTGGCTGAGACTGTGGACGTGGTGAGGGAACAGGCTGTGGAGAGCGCACTTGATTGGTGAGTGATGATGGAATCTGCTGGCCTTGTAAGTGTGGGGACTGGGCCTGATTAGGGAGCATGTGCTGTTGGGGGCTCATAGGATTGGGCTGAGCTGGTGAGCCCATCTGCTGCTGGAGTAGACGCTGCTGGAAAGCTTGCTGTAAACTTGATCCTGTGTCTGCACTCATTGCCTGGGGAAGCTGGCTCATTTGTCCCATATTTCCTTGCTGCATCTGCTGCATGTGATGCTGCATCCGCTGCTGCTGCTGTTGGGGGTACCCAACTCCTTGGGGCTGCTGGAACTGGTTATGATTGGCCATGCCAGGTCCCAAAGCTGGCCCTGCTCCCTGTTGCTGCTGTTGACGCTGCTGCTCCATCATCTGATGCCGCCTCATTAGGAGATCACGAAACTGGGGAGACATTCCCGAATGATTCATATTCATTTGCTGTGCCTGAGGATTCATCCCGCTCATGGCCTGCTGGGGTGGAGGCTGTTGAGGCGGTGACTGCTGTGGTATGCTAGGCCTCTGAACACCTGCTTGCATTGGATTCATATTTTGCATGGCTGGATTTGGGTGCACCCCTTGTTGCCCAGGCATGGCTTGCTGCTGCTGCAACCCAGGTTGCCCCTGAGGCATTCCAGGCTGCCCTGGCATGCCCTGTGGATTCTGATTCCCAGCATACTTGGCAGCCCGCTGCTTGATGAATGCAGCTAACAGTTGAGGGTTAGAATGCAGGATGTTAAGCACCTGCTGCTGCTGCATGGGAGAGCTGGGAGACCTGAGAGTCCGTAGCAGATTTTGTAAGGCTACCTGGGGTAGAGAACTTTGTTTTGACTGCGCTGCACCGGGTACCTGACCCATTCCTGGCTGTGGTGACATATTCATCGGCTGACCTGGCTGGGCCATTGACATCATCGGTGGTCTCTGCATTCCAGGCTGTAGCTGCTGAGGTTGGGGCAAACCTCCCTGGGCCCATGCTGGCTGCTGCTGAATTCCTGTTGGTCCCATCCCTTGATCTATGTGGCCACCAGGACCTCTGGCCATCTGAGGTGGTGTCACACTCATTGGCTGTATTGGATTCATTTGGGGCATCTGGTGTTGAATTGGCCTCTGGAAAATGGGTACATGAGCCATTTGCCGCTGGTGATCTGCTACTCGCTGGATCTGCATGGCTATTTCCACTGCAGCTGCAGGAGGACCCTGGATAGGTGGCTGGGCAGTCTGAGGTGTTGTTGGAGGAGTTACCTGGTCACCTGCCTTGCCCTGGGACACAGCACCGGGAGGCTGAATCCTCGAAATATTAAATGGAGATATGTTGTTGGGTGCAGCAGGTTGTGGCTGTGAGACAGGCTGTGGCGGAGGCTGTGGCTGTGGGGTCTGAGGAGTTGGTGGCTGCTGTCCTGTTGGAGTAGTTGGTGTGGCTGGTGTAGGTGAGGGTAACCCTTGCTGCTGACCTACTATGCCAGTTCTCTGCATGCTTGCCATTCTCCTCCGGAGCATCTGAGCTTGTTGCAGGCGATGCTGAAGCTGTTGCTGACGAAGTTTGTGTTTGATGTTGAGGCAGAAGGGAACTGGGCACTTGTTCTCCTGGCAGTGTTTAGCATGGTAGCAGCAAAGAGCAATGAGCTGCTTGCAAATTGGGCACCCTCCGTTAGTCTTGCGCTTGCAGCCTTTGGTATGCTGGACGACCCTTTTCATCTTCTGACAGGATGGCAGTGAACAGTTGGCATTGCGACACTGGCAGGCGTGGACTAAAGACTGGATGCAACGTTGGATGCTCAGGCGACGTGAATCACCAGGGCTCTGAGTGGTGGCTGTCTGCTGGTTGTTGCTTTCATCATCAATACCAAGGCCCAATTTTTCCATCCTGTGCTCATGGTTTTTAGTGTTATAGCAAGTGATGCACAGGTCATAATCCTAAAAACAGAAATTATTAGTCAGGTAACTAGCCATATTGCACAGCAGAAGACCACAACTTTATACCAAAAACTGCTACACATTTCAGTAGAAACCTATAACTTCAGAATGCTGAAAAAATTAACTATCCTCATGAGAAAGGTAATACCTACACTTGAAGAGTGAGAAGAAACTGTACACCCTCTATTTTATGCCCTTGCACACAGAAACAACAGAAAATCTGATCAACGCAGACCAGAGGAACAATTCCTTAAGCCGCCTAGAGTGGCTTTATAGGCCAGTTGGGCAGGGTGTGTGTGTGTGT